TCAATATGATCATGTTGTGAAAGCCAGGTCAAACTAATTATATACAACGAAAGGTGACTGCACCCACACAAATGCCCACACGATCCTGATCTTCTTCCCTTTCAAAAATATTGTCCATCACTCTAAATGTTTATCTCAGAGTCATTTTAGTTAATTTAAAACTATGCACTGAAGGAATCAGCAAAACAGCCTGCAAAGAAAATGATGGCAGTCAAATTTCTTTTTGAGTGATTCAGTGCTACTTTATTCAGCGTTCAGTGAATGTGAACCAGAAAGAAACATTAATATTGCAAGAGCTTCAGGATAAATGTATAATCTCTGACATCATCACGCATAACAAAATTATCATAGAATTTTATTAAAAGGTGTTAAATCACGTACAAACCACTTTGAAACGATTTCAACCAAATATTTAATTAAAATATTTATTATCAAACTCTAATTCTTACTCGAAGATATGAGGACCAAGATGGTGTGGCCTACGGTATGGTCGCAGTCTCCTCTCGATTTATAGAAGTGGGTTGATCGCGTTGTCGCATCTTGGTCTTGTTGTCCGGGAGACTTATAGAACGCATCTAGTCCGAAGTCCTCTGCCATAGTAGTTATCATAATTCTCAGCATTAGACAGTAGACTTGGTACATTCTCAAACGTTTCGCCAACTACGATGCCGACGAAACGTTTGAGGATGTACCAAGTCAACTGTCTGATCCTGGGAATTATGATAACTACTATGGCAGTGTGTTCTACTAACTCTCCCGGACAACAAAATCAAGTTGCGACGAGGTCAACCCACTTCTAATTCCTACTGATAATCTTCGCAATAGGCTTGTTAAGTTTAGTTAAAAAAGAAAATTTGCCTCATCCAGGCATTGGGATGAGATAGAAATGCAAGTCCGGCTTGGATGAAAATGGCTTTTTGGTATGCTCGCACAGCTCGCTGCAATACAAAATTATGCATTTCCTTCAACCCACTTCGGTTATACTCACTATTAATTGCTCTAGCGACGTATGCAAATGTATCATACTGGCAGGATTCAAAGGGTCGGAAGCAAGCTTCTGCAAAAAACCACCACCTGCTCGCATTATAAACGAGCTGAGCCGCATTTTCAGGACGGCCTCAGCAAAAGATCAGAGCCTTGAACTTGGAAGCTTTTCGGAACTTGGTCTTCTTAATATACAATTCACCTTTCGATTATCATTTGTCAAGGCATTTTAAAGGCAGCCAAAACCTAGCTTCTAAGAATTATATGGTAATGAATTTTTATTTTTACTCAGCTTTACTAGGTTTATTCGACCTTTGGAATGAAATATAGAATATGTGAGTAATCTGTGTTAGAAACCTTTCCACCTCTCGGGGAAAAAATAGGGGCACTAGGTAGATAAAAAACAGTAAATAATCTGACTCAGCACTTGTAAATGCACATGAAATCAACTACCATCGAGATCAATTGATTCAATTTTAGCAGACTTAATTTACGGCCTAGATAGACTGGATGAATAGAAATTAATGATAGGTAAGTACAATTTACATATTATCTCAGGATAGGCATCACGAAAAATTAGCTCAGTCTGAGTCTGAGAGAATGAATATTCCTGCTAGAATATATGAAAGGCATCCAAACGAAGTATAACGATAAAGGTCATATGACTAAGAAAGTATGTGTCCATGTGAAGAGCTATTAAACTCAAGATTATTCTTTCAATTGGATGGAGAAGGTCCAACTATGCATATCTTGATAAATATTTAATGATTAACAGCTCACCGATTTTGTTCGAATGTGAAAATCCGAACTTTTTTAGGAGAGATTTTCCTTAAAGCCTTTTCTGTCTCGTCGTCTGTATTGAAAGAATTCATCAAGGCCAAGGGAATATCACACTCATATTTCTTGTTCAATGTCTGAAGGAAGTATCGATAAATGTGCAGAAGGTGAAAAGCAATAAAGCAAAATGCCTGCAGTTTAAGATTAAAAAATAAACTCTAGAGAATTTTATGTTTGTAATGCAGCCCAAAAATGATTTGGAAAGCGTTATGGAATACGCCTTGATAAACTGCCCTCAAGCTATATTACTATCCATCAAAGTCTAACAATGTTGCATTAAATTATTTAATTTTTTTCTACAGATTATTTTTGCGTTGATCCACCAAATTAGCTATGCCTATAGTTTCTCTTCTCTCACAAAAAAATTGGAATTCTTAACATTTGTATTGATAGGGTGATTTTATATAGCATATATGCATACAAGAAATACTGCATTCTCGAGGCCCAATAAGAATAAGAAATAAAAAAACGTAAGCAAATTTAAATGTGAGACTTTAGAGAGTTTCACAAAACTTAACTTGCTCGTATATTTTCCCTCCTTAGCCAGATTAAAGTGGACGATTAATAAATAAAATCCCTAATTTATAATTATGGCCGATTTTTTACCGTCAAGGGAGTTTTTTCATAATAATAATCAAACAATTTTAAAGAAGATAGCAGATTAGATAGGATATCCTTAAGTTTATTCACCCTTAATCACTTAATGCTATGAAAGACTATGACATGAATAGGACGAGCGATACAAATGAATTTCACTTTGATCTGCTTCCTAAAAGGTATTACCATCAGAATCCTTTTTAATCAAGCAATATTTTGAACCAAATAAATTCACCGATATTATCAACAATCGAATAGAAGGTGGTGAAGGTGGGCAGTAGTTAGTGTTTATCAAATGTATCAAAACTACTCGATTATTCCCATCTTTGTTAAATTAGGGCCCTAAGTCTGGAAATGAAACATCAAATCCGGTTGTCGGGGTGACCAAGTTGGCTTCATCTTGTCTGAAGTCTTCCTCTATAGTAGTAAGAATAAGGTTCAGTACCGGACCGTCGACTTAGTACATTCCTAAATAAATCTCGCCGGCATCGTCAGTTAGTCTCTGCAGGCTTAGCAACAAGCTAGTATTTGCCAAATAGACAATTGAAGTCAATTCCTTGACCAACTTTCTGCCCAATGAGTGAGTCATCACTCCTCCTTTTGTCATGTCATACAGTTAACTAACCCACAGCTTCGTATTTTGATCCTATATAAACTGCAGGTTGTTGTAAGTTTTTGCTCTTATGACATCTGAGAAACTATGAAGTATATCACTATAAGTTTTCACCTTCAAGATATGATGAAGATGCTGTACTACAATGGGTCATTCAGTGTTTTTTGTTTCTGAACGATTGCATAAAGATCCACTTCCTTTCCCTCCATTCGAATGCCCAAATTAGTTGTTTCTCAGATTAGAGCTATTGCTGATAGCCATTTTCAGGGGGGAAAAAGGAAACCAAAAGGTTGCATTAGGGTAGGATCTTGAGCTTCACTTCCATCTTCATTTAGTTTATTTGATACTCGAATAGATGATGGCAGTACAATGCTGACAATACTTGTACAAAAAACAAATTCCTCACCTCTAATTGACGGATCGTCATCTCCAAAAATGTCAAGCCATTTCGGAACTCAATAAGGGATTTTGGCCGTCTACATCCCATACTTGTGCCTAGGCCTCCGTTAAGTTTGATTATAACCAGCTTTTTTAGAAGTCTCATGGCTTCCTCGTCTGTAGGATGAGGTAACGATTCATAGGAATGGATCTATTTTGGGAATTGTTGAGGGCATGGAAGGAGGAAAAAGAAAGAAGTAAATAAACAATTTCGCCTTATTCTTAAAACGGTTGTATTTTAGAAAGACTTTGGGAAACATATCATATAGCGCATCTCCGCTATTGTTGTCATGTTCTGTCCCACCATCGAGCATTTGACAGGGTATTTTTAGTGGAAGTGTTGGGTGAAGAGATTCAAAGGTCGGTTCCACCAGAAGACGACAGCAGATTCCTCTTGACCAGCTGTCGATTGGCTTTACTGGAAGATTTATGCTGACGCTATTCCGAGGCAATCTCCTTAGATTCCGGTGAAAACGTGCTAAGCTTTCGTCCGTCATATGACGGACATCAT